GCATAAATGATCTCATGAAAAGATATCACCACATTTATCCTATCCCCATTTCGTGTTGCTCACACCTCGAGAACACATACTTCTCTCATCGTCTACAATGCTCACTAAACTGATCACTAAACTCATATCTAGCTGGTAAACCACAAAAAATCCTAAATCCATGAGATAATCCTCTGTCATTACCTCACTTCTCCCAACCTTAGTAGATAATGGGTCTCTACCTAATAGAAGTGATAGAAGTGTCACTTTCACACTTCACCTGATCTGAGGCTTCACAGATAAAGGATTTCAACATTTAATCATCTCTCCACTCGTGGTCTAAATGTCACACTCTACATCATCGGTACAAACCATAAATGTATTCCTGTGCATCTATACTCCACTTTACCAAAAGACACACAACATACTTATTGTTAATGCATCACAACCCACTATACATGCAAACACATTACACCAAATAATCAAATTGCTCTCAAATTCATGTAAATATAAATATCAAACATATTGAAAACACAACATATAACCATACAACTGAATTGAGCAATCACACATATGCAAAAAAGATTATACACAGATGCACATGCAATAATTAGGTTTACTCTCAATAAACCTCATTAGGACATAACTCGTCTTAATGGTAACATTCGCCCACTTTTCTCATTATCTTTCCTTTCATTATTCTTTTTAGGACAGCGCCTTTCAACATGTTCAGAATACCACAATTAAAAACACTTTATTTTTTCGCACTTGCATTAAACCTGCATTTGCCATCAACCGTTTTATAAATAAATAAAAAAATCTCTTTCCAATTTAAAAAATCGTGTTTTTTCCATTAAAAAAACACAACTTAAAATGTGTTGTCATTTTATTTAAAAATGCACAAAACACAAAATGAATTAAACAATGTTCACAAGCAAAGTATAAACAAAATTCACACAAAATTATCAAACAAACATTCCTAAGGTTACATGCAATTCTAATAGTGAAAAAATTTGACACCAAATTCACAAAGAATTCAGAGCAAATAATTCATAGATCTAGCAATAGACAATGGTTACCCCACACGGTAACCTCAAATTAACGTCACACCACACAATGACTTCTAATACAAAAAGTATACTATCTTACACAATAGTCTTAATTGCAATAATAAAAAGGAAAGAACACGATATCAAGCGGAACATATATACGGGTTCGTAAACTAGTAGGGATGCGAATTTACTGTTTTAGGGTCATCACTATTCACCCTAAAGCTTCCAGCAACTATGACAACACGAAATGACACTCGACACCCGAACGTTGAAGGGCAAAATTGTCAAAACTTTATCGTATCGCTCGAAACTGAAGACGGACATCACCACAAGGTTCACCAAACCACCAGCGACATTCTGTTAGTTCATATTGTCATTGACCGTCACTGAATGTACCCACACGTGCTTACTAAAGTTCTTGCACGTGACCTAATGCTCTTAGACCCTATGCACACAGCTACCCAAATACTCATTCGCCTGCTAAAGTTGAATCCAGCCTTCATTTCTCCAAAATCCTTCTGTTTGGTTGGAAAATGATTTTATAGGTCGGGCCACCTTCGGTCGGTTTTGGCATCTAAAAATTATAGATTTATCAACATGTTGTGGAAACTCCTCGAGAAATTTTTTATTCGGGCTCAGTTTACTCACCAAACGAACACCTACTGAGGAGGCTCCAACCTACAACTTCTACACTTTGGTTACCACAAGTTTTCACCCCCCAAAGGAGACACTTGGTGATAGGTTTGCAGGCTATAAAAGGAAGAAGGAATATAGAAGCAATTGGAACCTCAAGGAAGAACCAAAGCCAGCCAAAACCTCACGTTTTCTCTCTTACTCGCAAACTAACGCACAAAAGACGGCTGCAGCAAGAAGCCAAATATATATTACTCAGGTTATCACAAGTTAGGCTAAAAATGAGGAGTTAATGGACCAACAACCAAAAAACAAACAAATGGCCCAACAAACCTAATAACCAATATATTACCATCAATGCAAAGCCACAACTTGGACCATCCAAAAGTCTTGGGCCACGAGCAATACTGACTTAATTAAGCTGTTTCAAATGGCCGCAACTTGATATCAAGTCAAGCCATTACTAAGGTGTCGATATAACCTATTCAACAACAATTTAACATCATCGCTTGGAATTTATTGGATATTCAACAGAAATTTTTGGCCCTTTGCCATACGTTATCAAACTGGAAAATTTTCCATTGTGTCTAAGATTCAATAAAGGTGAAGTCAGTTGAGTGTGCATACGACTCCATTGAAGGCTCACCTCCTCTATGATGTGAGTTTGGGTTGAATTGGGTTCCTAGCCTCAAGTATAATGTAGGAGGATTGCCCTCGGATCAGAGATCAACTTTTGGCATCGGGCAAAAATTTGCAAGCCTGTTCGAGGCATTGGGCACGTTGAATGACTTATATGCATTTTACAATGTAAATGGTCTTTCTTTTCTTTTGGTGTGGTGTGGTTGAAATTGTGTGACATAAAAACGTGGACATACTGTCCTCTATGACTTCCGTGGCTCCATGTTGAGTGGATATATAACAATATCTTCTCAACTTGGAGCCTAATATTTATGTTAGGTTCAAAATAAGGGTGACAAAAGGGTCGAGTAGTTCGTAGACTCGTCAAAGCTCAGCCCATGCATGGCTCAAAACTCATTTTGGGACGAGCCCAGTCCAATCGGAGCGGGAGGTTCGTTAGACGAGCCGAACTGAGCCTTGCTCATCAAAAATGTAAAGAAAAAAGTCAAAAAAATTAAAAGAAAAAAATCTTGAGCTTGTGGGCTCAGCTTGACTTGGCTTGGCTCGTGAGCTCACAAGCTCAAGTCATGGGTAGATGGGCTGAGCCGGTTTGGCGTGACCATTGTCATCACTAGTTCGAAACCTATAGTTGCTGCTAACTTTTCCAGACCTATAGGTGAAGTGTTTATAGTTGTTGCCAACTTTTTTGAGCTTATGTGACACTACGCAGAGTGAAGGTGTAAATGTAATAGTGAGTGATTGGGCATGGCAATAATAGTGAGTTGGAAAAAGCCTCCTGCACAGGACCTGTACAGGGGCTCTCACATGGGGTGAACCACATGTGGGGTCCACCCCCACATGTGTGCACCTGTACAGGCTTTGTGCAAGTAGCACAGCCGTAGTGAGTTTATGTTTCTTCATCTGTTTCACACATTTGCGTCCACACAAGCACCCAATTTTATTTTAAGCACCAAATATATTAACATTTCTACGGATTAATATTATAAATATATGATATTGTAAATTGTAATTTTCTCATAACAACAGAAGCATGTTATTTTCTCATTTTAAAAAATTGAGTTGTTAGAGAAAGAATTAACTTTGAACACAATTAATCTCACGTATATCAAATTCATTCTTATTAAATAGCTGTCACGTTTGCATTTTTATAGACTAGTGATGGTGATACTTGATTATAGCATCTTTATCACTTTTGATATAATATTAAACTAATAAATTCAAATGGTTAAGTCATTAGTAGACGATGCAATTATTTGCTTACATTAATCTTCAACATTAAATTGGCAATAACTGGGAAATTTGTTGTATGTGTCTTTTTTCTTTTTGGTATGTTTAATTTTGTTTTGATTTAACATGACATCAATAATTTTGGTTCGTTCAGCAAGGTAAATTATGCATTGTTCAAAATGAAAATAAAATTGAAATGTACTATATATTCTCATTAATATAACAAATATTATTCTTAATTTATTAATTGTTGAATTTAGTGTTAAAACATTTGAGAGATATTTAATATGTTAGATTGAAAGTGACAAAATCTATAATTAATTAGTTTTGTAGCATGTATAAAATGGTCTGATAGCATGTTTATTATGATGCAACTTATTTAAAAGTTCAATGTCAAAACAATGACACGTTTATTTGTATTCTATTTTCAACATGTCTAATCTCGTTCGAATTTAATTCGTTCTTATCAAATATCTTACACATGTACATCTTTATAAATGAGGGAGGGTGATACTTGGTTGTAGGATCTTTATTTGCAAGATACAAGGTTGAATTATCACATTTAGAATTTAAGTTTATTTATTTAAATCAATTCTTCAATATATGCTGTACATTAAATTGAGAAGCTACAGCAAATTTTGTCAAGCATAACTTTTTGAGTATTTTAATTCTAATTTTCACACTTAACACGCAATACTTTCGAATTTGCGCAATTACCTTTTCTTTCGATCAATTCTAGGGTCGTCTGGAGTTTATATTAATGTTTTTACTTTGTTCCTTCTCTTAAATTGCTCGATCAGTTTCAAGAGTGCTACATCTAGGTAGCAAGTTTGTTTTCTTCTTGGTTCGTTATTCTGCGAGAGCTTCAACTTCTCTGTTCAGAAGTATTTTGGATTTCTCTATTTTCTGGGAATGTTTTTTGACGTCTTTGGTCAAGTCCTTCACCAGTCATTTTGCTAAACAAAACATAACAGCTTACAAGTTCTATCGCTTGGATTTCCTAAATCATTATTATTTGTCCAATCCAACCTCCCAAACGAGTCCACATAGAAAAAATAAAAAATAAAAAGATGTGAAATAATCGTGATGATTCAGAGCAATTAATTGATCATTCTTCACAACACACTGGGAAAACTGCAGTATTTTTCCTCAACTATCGACACGGTAACAGCTTTGATTCTAAAACTATAAATATAGTTGCATAACCAATCTCCAAGGACAAAAACCGGTCACATCTCGTTAAACTCATCATGCGACTCCCACAGAAACGGGTCTTACCTCCAAATTTTAGACATGGTCGAAGTTGATACGTAAAATTTAACGTTATAGGGTCACTGATGATTTAACAGTGACTTAAAACATTAGAAACTGATAATGTAACTATAAAAAAAAGGTTGCAAACTAACTTGGCTCTTTTTAAAAAGTTGGAAACAAACCAGTTACCCTGAAAATATGTTTGAAGACAATTCATTAACGAGAGACTTGTGGCAGCCAAGACAGAAGCTGACTCACCCATTAAAGCAAGCCTGAATATAGACTACATACTAACTACTTGCACAAGTTGACAATTGTTCGAATTTTATATACAGAGTAAGCAAATACCTCTAAAGAAACTGCATTACTAAGCAAATTTAACAGATAACTAAGAATAAGAATGTGCAGAGAAGAAAAAGAACCGCAGTTATCACAACACTAATCCGTAAAGGAAACTGTACTAGAAATAGAAAAGAACGTTGACTCTAAATAAAATAATTAACTGATTTTTTTTTATTTTTTTTTTTTGTTCTTTTCAGAACTACAAAAAGGAAAAGCACTACAAGTTGTAAACTAACGTGATCTGTAACCAATTAGCAGCCAGCCATTTGGCCTGCTCTTGCCAAGCCACAGTAGTCTACTCCAAATCACTGTGAGATGGAATTCACACTTCTTTAGCTTGGCAAGTATGCCATCCGCATATAACCTCAAAATTTCATTGGCAGATTGATCCCATTTGATCACTTCTCCCCCAAAATTCCTCCTCTACCGCTGGATAAAAGCTTGTTACAAAGAATATCACTATGGACACCTGAAGACAATAAGAGTTGTGAGAATAATGTAGAAAAGAATTCAAAGAACACACGAAACCAAATAGGTAAGCAATCAAGGTACTTTATTTAATACCTCATCTTGGTATTACACTGCATCTCAATGTACGTAAAGCAGTCATCTCATCATAAATGTTAAAATAAGTCCTCATCAGATAGCTTTCGCTATGTCTAAGAACAGTGTGTGTGAGAGATCTGGTCCTTTCAGCACTTTTTTAATGAAATGGTAGTGGAGGTATGCATATGATCAAATTTTTTTTGTTCAATAGAACTATAGAATAGCTCTGACGAAAGTTATTATGAATACCTGGTATTTGTTTTAAAAAGTGCTTATTTCGTTATTCCAATAGATGCGTGTAGACTAATTTTGAATCAAAGTGATGCACAGAGGTGGGCATAAAGGACAATTACCTCATATTTTCAAATACACAACCAATAAAAAGAGGGCAGTCAATGCCAAGTTCCTTTCTAAGGGAGGCAATGTTCTGCAGTACTTTCATTTAAGATGAAATCTACAGGACTAGCCGACTAGGAGGTAAAGCCAGTTCAGATGTTAATTGCAAAGATCAACAATGTAAACCTTGATATTACTGGGGATGGTAGGATGTGATGGAAATGTGCAAAGAATGGATTACTAGGGGCTGCTGTCAGGCAGGAGTGGAAGCTTGCACCTTATTGCATTATGTGGAGAAAGAGAAACAAGTGTTATTTTAAGGGATAAAGAATTCACAAAAAAGGCAATTTTTCTTTTCTTTTTAATATTCTGGAGCTCCTAATCTGTTCCACCATGTAAAGATTCTTGGTTAGGTTTGTGAAATTTTCTTGCATGTAATGGAATTCTGGTTTACATAAACATTATTTCTGGTTCAGTATAAACCATATCCATTCTTGGTTGTCAAGAATCATGGCTATGCAAATTAATAATGAAGAACATCTGATACTCTTTTCTTCTCTCCATTTTACCTCATCAAAATGACAGATGATTGTCCATATGAAGACCCATAAAGTCTTGACTCTTGTTACTTTAGGCTCAATACACAGAAATTATCAATCAAAATAAAGGGGTGGTGATGCACTAAATCCAGATGAAATCTTGATTATCAGAATGAAAATTAAAAGACCGAAAAAGAACTCCATCCTAGGGTCAATGAGTATCTCACCATAAAGAACTCAAAAGGGGGCCTCAAGAGATTCATCCCAGACATCTGCACTTCCATTTGAGGCATCTTCTGCATCTTCCTCCATTGATAGCCTAATATATTCTCGGTGCGCAAAGCGATCCCACTCAGTCAAATTAGGGTTCTCACGTTCCTGTTCAGGAATTAAAAATAGGGAGAAATAAATCATGCCAAACCTGCTAAGCATATTGAAAGTCGTAGTCATCAAGCATGCACTAAAAGTAATGAAGTTGCAAGCATTACCTGGCGAATTTGAAATGGATCGCGAGTTTCAAAAGCCATGAACTTATTGAGGTTAAAAAGGATATTGAAAAAACTGCCAGAGAGCTTGCTGCCCTTTAAGTCGCGCAATGTAAAATAGCTATCATCCTGAGTACGAAATAAATCACGTCACAAGAAGTTATAACAAGTATAAGCCAATCAGAATTAAAGTACAGTGTGTCATAAAGGATGCATCAACTCAAAAATCTATATGTGATGAGTGTGTTTGGTTAGTGTTTACAAACATTAGTGTTTATAAATATGTAAAAATGAGTGATGGAAAAGTGGATAGTTGTAGGACATATGAAATGTGTAGATAAAAAGTTGCCAAGTGTTTATGAACACTTGCCAAACAAGAGTATAAACTGACATTTGACATCAAAAAGGAAGTGTCTATGAGATAAACTTGTTCAGCCACAATGTTCACAAGATGCCAATACGATTCAGTTTTCTGAACCAACACTCTTCAGAATTTTTGTATTAACTTCTACCTAGGATGTCATAAAACTTACAAAGATCCAGCTGATTACAACCCTATCATGGTCTACTTTCTCAGTCAGTTTCTGCTAAGCATAATTTTTCTTTTTGATAAGAAGCAGAACCTTATAAATCAAAGGTCTGTATTTCCTATTCATGGAGTAGGACAATGTATCCTATATACAACAAATTAAAAAATTAAAAATTACGAAGAAATTACTTCTTTCCAATTAAAAACTAGTGAAAAAGGACATCATCCTGCGGACAAAGAGGCCCATATCATGACTAGGAATTTTGGCTTTTCCTATAACTCAAGAAAAAAAAGAAACTTCCAATTTTCCTTCAATAATCTCTACCATTTCTTTCAGTCATGTTACTCAATGAATGGATGAAACTACTGATTTCCACAATAGAACCCCTTCTACAAGCTGAAACAAATCGGCTTTTGCATCTTATGTACAGATCCAAGCTAAAGCTGCTTCCTGTAACAATCTACACCATAGTATCCTTGCCACTTTACAATGTAAAACGCATGAATCAAAATAATCCAAATCATTTCATCAGAGTATACACTATGAACCAATGAACTAAATCACAAGTATAGATCTTCCTATGAAAAATCAACATAAAATCTTTAGAATGTAAACAGATAGTCATTGTATTCAGAATCCTTTCTTCAAATAACACACTATTAATTAAATTAATAACAGGTATTGACCTTCCCTTGCAAGCCCACTAATCAATCATTATAATTCTGCAAAGGATATATGATTTCCAAACACATTTAAAGATTAAAAGACTGGGTAACAAGGCAAAACAACCAAAGCTTAGATATAAGACGTACAGGAAAATAATCCACTGTTTCACCTAAATGGTGAGGTTACAGAAAAATTCAGGGATAGTTAACCTAGAAATTTTCGGTACTGCAAGTTTCTATGAAGTTAGAAGCCTCAACCCATGCCTCCATTTGGAAAAAAACCAGCATACACAATAGGAATATACAGATTACATAATCAATAGAACACTCCCCTCCCAAACATCCAAAAAGGGATCTTTTTACACCATAACCACCTCGTGTCATGAACCAGATAAATGATTATATAAACTTCCAGGAGTTTAAAATAAGCCTTTCAACATTGTCTTATAATCCCATCTTGGGCCAGACCATCTTCTAAGCATGACTCTTTTGGAAAATTAAAAGGGGCCTGGCCCATGCAGTCACATGCTTTACACACCAAGCTAGAACTTCATAATAATTAAACAAAATAATGATGCTACCAGAAAAGCATTACAAGCAATTGCTCTAATAAAGAATTCACAAAAAAGGCAATTTTTCTTTTCTTTTTAATATTCTGGAGCTCCTAATCTGTTCCACCATGTAAAGATTCTTGGTTAGGTTTGTGAAATTTTCTTGCATGTAATGGAATTCTGGTTTACATAAACATTATTTCTGGTTCAGTATAAACCATATCCATTCTTGGTTGTCAAGAATCATGGCTATGCAAATTAATAATGAAGAACATCTGATACTCTTTTCTTCTCTCCATTTTACCTCATCAAAATGACAGATGATTGTCCATATGAAGACCCATAAAGTCTTGACTCTTGTTACTTTAGGCTCAATACACAGAAATTATCAATCAAAATAAAGGGGTGGTGATGCACTAAATCCAGATGAAATCTTGATTATCAGAATGAAAATTAAAAGACCGAAAAAGAACTCCATCCTAGGGTCAATGAGTATCTCACCATAAAGAACTCAAAAGGGGGCCTCAAGAGATTCATCCCAGACATCTGCACTTCCATTTGAGGCATCTTCTGCATCTTCCTCCATTGATAGCCTAATATATTCTCGGTGCGCAAAGCGATCCCACTCAGTCAAATTAGGGTTCTCACGTTCCTGTTCAGGAATTAAAAATAGGGAGAAATAAATCATGCCAAACCTGCTAAGCATATTGAAAGTCGTAGTCATCAAGCATGCACTAAAAGTAATGAAGTTGCAAGCATTACCTGGCGAATTTGAAATGGATCGCGAGTTTCAAAAGCCATGAACTTATTGAGGTTAAAAAGGATATTGAAAAAACTGCCAGAGAGCTTGCTGCCCTTTAAGTCGCGCAATGTAAAATAGCTATCATCCTGAGTACGAAATAAATCACGTCACAAGAAGTTATAACAAGTATAAGCCAATCAGAATTAAAGTACAGTGTGTCATAAAGGATGCATCAACTCAAAAATCTATATGTGATGAGTGTGTTTGGTTAGTGTTTACAAACATTAGTGTTTATAAATATGTAAAAATGAGTGATGGAAAAGTGGATAGTTGTAGGACATATGAAATGTGTAGATAAAAAGTTGCCAAGTGTTTATGAACACTTGCCAAACAAGAGTATAAACTGACATTTGACATCAAAAAGGAAGTGTCTATGAGATAAACTTGTTCAGCCACAATGTTCACAAGATGCCAATACGATTCAGTTTTCTGAACCAACACTCTTCAGAATTTTTGTATTAACTTCTACCTAGGATGTCATAAAACTTACAAAGATCCAGCTGATTACAACCCTATCATGGTCTACTTTCTCAGTCAGTTTCTGCTAAGCATAATTTTTCTTTTTGATAAGAAGCAGAACCTTATAAATCAAAGGTCTGTATTTCCTATTCATGGAGTAGGACAATGTATCCTATATACAACAAATTAAAAAATTAAAAATTACGAAGAAATTACTTCTTTCCAATTAAAAACTAGTGAAAAAGGACATCATCCTGCGGACAAAGAGGCCCATATCATGACTAGGAATTTTGGCTTTTCCTATAACTCAAGAAAAAAAAGAAACTTCCAATTTTCCTTCAATAATCTCTACCATTTCTTTCAGTCATGTTACTCAATGAATGGATGAAACTACTGATTTCCACAATAGAACCCCTTCTACAAGCTGAAACAAATCGGCTTTTGCATCTTATGTACAGATCCAAGCTAAAGCTGCTTCCTGTAACAATCTACACCATAGTATCCTTGCCACTTTACAATGTAAAACGCATGAATCAAAATAATCCAAATCATTTCATCAGAGTATACACTATGAACCAATGAACTAAATCACAAGTATAGATCTTCCTATGAAAAATCAACCTAAAATCTTTAGAATGTAAACAGATAGTCATTGTATTCAGAATCCTTTCTTCAAATTACACACTATTAATTAAATTAATAACAGGTATTGACCTTCCCTTGCAAGCCCACTAATCAATCATTATAATTCTGCAAAGGATATATGATTTCCAAACACATTTAAAGATTAAAAGACTGGGTAACAAGGCAAAACAACCAAAGCTTAGATATAAGACGTACAGGAAAATAATCCACTGTTTCACCTAAATGGTGAGGTTACAGAAAAATTCAGGGATAGTTAACCTAGAAATTTTCGGTACTGCAAGTTTCTATGAAGTTAGAAGCCTCAACCCATGCCTCCATTTGGAAAAAAACCAGCATACACAATAGGAATATACAGATTACATAATCAATAGAACACTCCCCTCCCAAACATCCAAAAAGGGATCTTTTTACACCATAACCACCTCGTGTCATGAACCAGATATATGATTATATAAACTTCCAGGAGTTTAAAATAAGCCTTTCAACATTGTCTTATAATCCCATCTTGGGCCAGACCATCTTCTAAGCATGACTCTTTTGGAAAATTAAAAGGGGCCTGGCCCATGCAGTCACATGCTTTACACACCAAGCTAGAACTTCATAATAATTAAACAAAATAATGATGCTACCAGAAAAGCATTACAAGCAATTGCTCTAGAAGAATTTAATTCAGAAAAAAACAATTAAAAGAAAAGTTATACTGCTCCGCAGAACTGCTTGTCAAGGCACCTAAAGCACGGCTACAAAAAGAACGAAGCAAGATACACAAAGATGAAAGATTCAAGAAACAAAGTCTATTGGAAATGCACCTCTGGACTAATCATGTCAACCATCTGGCACAAAATATCCTCAAAAAGCACAGGCTCCTGAGCCATGCATTCCATTCTATGCAACTGCTCTTCATAAAAGAATTGCATTTCATTCCTCGTAATAACTCCATTTCCATCCAAATCGATACACTTGAACCTGATAAAGATAATTAGTTTTACATTCATTTAGAAAAAAATAGAAGATATTGATGAAAATAAGAAAAATGGCTGAGAAGGGCTCATCAATTAGTCTCGTTTGGATACAAATTTATAAATGGTTCATAGATTCAATTAAAATCAAACATTAATTTCAATTCATAACTACTACCCATTATTATCCACATATTTCATGGACCCACTACTGCTACTTTAGATAAACCATTTATAATTTATTCCAACAGAGGCTTAATCTATTGTTCCTAATTCTTACAGTTAATCCTTTTTCTTCCTCTTTTCATGGACTAGTAAGCAATCCAAAATTTTCAAATTCCTCGACAGCATATTTTCAGGAACCATAGAGGAAACAGAGTTTAAGATTTAGACATTTAATTTGTTCATAATTTTATCAGCTTCTACAGGACACTCAAAATAAGGGCAAGTAAAACCTTATGATTCTTCGTTGGGTTATCTGTAACTCTTAAACTAGACCCTTTTGGGCAATGACTCCGTAGGACACCCCAAAAAATCATGTTGTCCCAGACATAAAAGATCTTTGCCAAAAGTTACAATCCATAATCAGACCATATCCATTCACTCAAAGATCAAAACTGTCAACAATGAAAATCCTGAAAACTCACATGTAACTTCATTCTCGTGTGCCGTTCAAAATAAATTCAAACTTAGCTGTCATCTATAATGAGCCAAAGGTTAAAATACCTCAGAATTGGAAAAATTCGAAAGTGCAAAAATCAATTTTGCATGGATACTGGTGACATCTTTTTATCTTGATAAATAAAGGTACAAATAGAAAAAAGGCTTAGCTAGATGTACTTATAATTAAGAGAGTGCACATACCAATATTCAAGACTAGGCTCAGATGCTTTATCCTCCTCTGACAATATGAAGTAGACAAAATCTTCATATCCCATTTTTCCTTCAACTTTACTGGTGAACTTTCTGGGGACCTTAGACAAAGTAAAATTTAACTACTTAAAGAAATCAAAGAAGCCTTGATTAACGAATAAATTAGTCATCAAGCAATGTGGCTTTAATAGAAAAAATAGCACACAAAAGATAAGAACCTGAGAAAATATTCTGTCAACAATCCTGTAGGTAAGTGCATGGTTACCATATCTGATGAGGTTTTCTTTATCGATGAGAAAATCATGATCCGTATCCAGCTCCCAGAATTTGCAATATATTACATAAAAATGTTCATAAGAGAAGTACCTGCAGCAAAGGGAAGATAAACTAATAATGCACAAGTTATATAAAAGAAGTTAACATATAGTAATTTTTTTCCCACGACAGTTGCTTGGTAAATCAAAACCTCGAAGAAATTATTAATGTCATGCTCACAGATACTGATCTCCTCTAGGTGAGAAAATTACTTTCCATGAACTTGTTGAAGACACTATTAAAATGATAAAATGTCAATATGTAAATGATATAAATGTGTCCTTATCTAATGTATTAAACTTTTGGATCAAATGGTTCAACGGGACTCTACAAGACCATCTCATGAAGAGTCTTGCCATAAAGCTCAGTTCAGATATCTCCTATATAACTAATGCAGTCAAAACTTAATCCCAGTCAAAACTTAATCCAGTTATCCCATAAATCATTAGCAATTAAGAAAAAGGTCAAATAAAAAAGAACCAACCCCCCTAATTACCTCAATACTTTGTTGATATCTTCTTCTTCATCTGCATGTTGCATTGCATCAATTAAGTTTGTGCGTTTCAGCTCTCTGAGGGTAAGAAGACCATTACCCGATCTATTCACGTAGTAAAATATTCGATATATTACAGTTTCAGCTGGCATTGCAATAAATTAAAATGTTAAAATTCAACCAAGTAGTGTAGTTTCTCTTACTAACAAAAAAATGGCAAGACACGGAAAAAGTAGGTCACATAAATTTAGCAATATATTAAATATTTTTTAACCATAGCAAGCCATGTTATTATTTAATGTAATTCTTCAAATTCTAAAATATTCTAGTGAGACCGTATCACTATGGGGAATGGAACCCATAGCCATGAGAACATTCTATCCTGACTAACCTATCACAGAGTTTTGATTTTGATTCACATAATACAAAAATATAAAATCTCCATCTAAAGAAGATTACTAAGATAAAAGAAAGTGTAACTAACTTTATGATTTGAATTTATTGCTCCAAAGTTAGAAGTAGGCAACAGTGAATAGAGATGTACGCATACAGAGCACAAACTGTTTGATACACTTTTTTTTAGTCGTGTATTTGAAAATAATATTGAACTTTTCTAATTCCCCTACATATATTTTATGAAGAGAATTTATTTATTTTTATTTTTTTTGGGTTCATAATAGCTATATCGAAAGAACTTCTTCCAGAAAACAAAGGACTTGTGCAATGGATATGTCAAAGGAAAGATTATAGCCCTGGCTCGTGGAAGAGGACTACGAGAGTACAGACATCTAGGAGAGACTTATCTATCATCAGGGATGACAGTGGGGCGGGTTCGCGGCGGGCCGGGGGGGCCTGCCAGGTTTAATTTTATTTATTTATTATTAGTATTTTTTTTTACATTTTCAAAATTTCGAGTTATGCTATTAATAGAAAATAAAATACAAATTCAAAATGAATTTTTAACGGAATGAATTGTCTAGAAATAGAATTACGATCTTTACTTTATCAAAAGATAATGTCGCTACATCAAATTATTCATAGGTTAAATCTCAGCTGGGGGCCTAATCATGTATCTACTACACATGGCATATAACTAACTGCATGAGGAAGTTGCATGAATAGCAAGGAACTTCAAAGAAAAGATGAAAAGCTGCCTCAAATTCAGGTGCCTCTGTAACTTGTTTACTCTCTGACTGTGGCTAAGTTAATGTATATCTCTCTACCAGTGCTTCTTTCCTGCTATAATTCACCATTTGTTTACTACCTTGGTACAGACCATACAAATTGAAAGACAAAATAATTGTCAGCATAAAGAAAGATATAAATGTGGGAGAATCAGGGTCCTCTACAATATATAAAAGAAAAGGAAGGAAGAAAAAAGAACTACTGCAGGTACAAGTTCCATGTACTTGATGAATAAAATCAGCCAACCAGGTGTAATAGGAGTAGCAAGCACAGCATTTCAAATTCACATTCTGTAACTAGGTAAACTATTTTTTAAATTTTACACTGTAGCAACTAGGTGTAAAAATATACTCATTGTTAACCAGGAAACATAATGATCTCTCAGAAAACAATAAACCAATTCCAAGTGCATATTAGCAACGGCTCTAAAAGTGTTCCAATGCTTAGAAAAATGTCATGAGCTACTATGATACACAAATGAAATAATTTTAAAATGTGGTAGTAGCTGCAGCAGCTTTGTATTTATGCAATGCAGTAATAGTAACTATAGTATCACACTTATATTAAGCAACAGGCAAACAAATCCAAACATTCAAAAGCAAATAAACCAAAACTGATAGAACGAGCCAGCAAGTGAAGTACAACATACCATATCTTTCTTGGAATTCAGGTGTGCTGTGTAAGAATTCCAAACCTGGATGAGTTGCCAAAAGTTCTCGAAGCACAGGTTTGAAGTCATCCTATTGTCAAGGTCATCAGAATTGCAAATGTAAGAAAGAAAAGTAAACAATGACTGATTAAAGTTTCTATCCAAAGAAAAAAATTGTCAGTAGTCATATGACCTGAGTCAAGTATTTGAAATCTGGCTGCTTCAAGAGCATATAAATCTGGGTTGCTATATCTTTGGTCAACATATTGCCATTGATCCAATAATCAACAAATGCCTCCCTGTATGCACATTGGTAGTTCGTATTAGTATTGATGATATAAGAAATTTCTGAGTTGTTTCTACTTCTAGTAATAGATTTTAATTCATTTTCATTCTGTTACATAATAACTAATCTGAGAATTTATTAATTCTGTTTTGTTATTTTATTTATATTTATGTGCAAGTTAGACATTAAATTTATTCATTTGTTTTATGATGGATTTTTTAGGAATGATTTATTATGAGCATATTTTAGTATTTTTATATTATTTTGAATTATTCTATTGGCCTGTCTTGAGGCATATGCCTCAAAGAGCCCCAAGTATTATGTCTCACCTCGCAGAGATAAAACATCAGTATTCAATTAAACCTTTTTAAAAAATGATAATTGAAAGACACTAAGCAAAGTTATACCTTAAATGTAACAAGGAAAATGACTATCATATATCAGTCTTATTATCACAAAGAGAGGACTATGATACTAACCTTACAAAATCAAATATGATCCTAACATAATCTTAGAAAATATGTCAATTATCTAAACGTTAGCTGCTGAGGAAAAAGGTAGCATGCTAACCTAGGTCCCACATCAGCTAATGAACTAAATCTAAAGATTCATGACGTTTCCGACTCATTCTCATTGATTTTGTAAAGAAGATAAGGAAGAGTCAATAACATATTTAGAGGAAGTTTTCGTATCTTCTATTAAGAGCAAGATATTTAAGCTCCTAAGTAGTTTTAAAATCATATCTTTCAACCTTTAAACTGCAGGAAAACTGTTTGAGGCCTTGTTACCTTTTAGGTGAGAATGATTCATGTTGTTTCCACATTACCTTACCTAGTATAAGTTAAAATACATAGCCATCTCTGTCTTCAAATTTTTTCAGTTAAGTTGGGTAAAATATTTCTTTTCTCCCACAATTTCCAATATTCTGAACTCGTAACACATTATAAAAGAACTAAAATATAGATCAAATTCTGATAAGAAGTCATAAAAGGACATTAATGTCATTGAATAGACAAGCAGTCCCCAACATTTCCTCATCTTTGAGGCCAAGCTCCAATTGAATGAGGAATCCAATAAAGATAAGAAGGGCAGGAAAAACACGAGCATTTGGATGGCTAATTCCTAATAAAAGACTTGCTTGTGAGTTATTCTATTAGATAATTTCACGTGAAGATAGCTGGTTCTTTCGAGAGTCCCATTCTCGTCCCCCAACCACATTCACCCACCAACCCCTCAATTTCATTTCCCCTCGTCCTTGTCAAAGGACAACTTTTTTCTGAACTACTTTAAATGTAGGCAAAAACTAAACAACAAAAATTTACAACTCATGCAACGCTGAGATATGTGACCGCACTTTCGGCAACATCCATCAACAAGTAACAAGCTGCACTCCCAAGCCATTCACATACTCATCATAATGCCTAAAATCCTACCACAATAAATTTAAATTTTCCAAAAATTACAGGATTTTGTTACTAATGAAGAAAATTGGCTGTTCTACTGAGAAGTAAATGCTAATTAACACAAGGCAAACACACATGCATGCTGAGCACATCAGAAATGGATAATGATACCTAGATTCTGCTGTACAAGTCACTAGAAAATAACTCTAAAAGGCTAAAATTCCATCACAAGCAAATTTGATTCTTCAAAAGATAACAGGTTTTTCATACTATGAGAGAAAGAGCATCTACCATGTACCATACCAGAGAATCAAAATTTGCACAATGCAATGCAAAGACGAGTAAATCCCAAATAAGCCCAGAAAAATAAACTCAAACTAAAACAAGATCAACTTGCCACAATTGTACAATAATAGCATTCACAAATTTTTAGAGGACAGGTTGCGCACAGAATACTACTACACAAGTTATGCAAACCGAGTATCACCTTTATCGAGAATCCGTAGATACTTTACGTGATAACAATAAAAATAATAAAGTAAAATCATAAAGTAAATATTATTCTGACCAGGACATTTCAGGCATAAAATTTAACGAGTATGAACTTTGTGAATCCATAATTTCCCAATTTAAGGTAGACGAAAACGTAGACAAGGGGCTAAGTCTTAAATAAATTATGCCGCGTGACATAATGTTTACCTGGTCACAATGCCGGCGCAATTGACATCAATCTTTCTAAAAAGTGCAGTGGAGAAGAATGATGGGAGCTTGCAGATTTCCCTGGTAACCGGTTTAAATTCTGGCATTCCATGAAAATATTAGCACAAACAGCCTACTGATTCTCATATAATTTAATTATATTGTTCTAAGTTTCATACTGAAAAACAGATAATATAATAACGAAATTTATTTATAGGTTTTGGTGCAATTGTAATACAATAAGCAACTAAACCTTCAAGTATTGAATTAAGTTGAAACTCTCACCATGCATCAGGAGCCCATCTGCATGACCATAAAAAAACTGATTGATTCTGAACAAGCACCGTTCTTTCAATTCATTTGGCGGTGGACGACCATTTTGAAAAAAGAACTGTGTGTTCTCCATCAGTATAATCAATTATCGATCTTAGAACCAAATTCAAACGAAAACAGCACTCAAAAGGTGAAAAAATCTAGAGCAAATTGGCACTATATTTTCAAAAGATTCATAATTCGAACCTGAGGTATAAGCTCTTTCACAGGTTCATTCACTAATTTCAGTGGCGAGCTAAGAGCAGATGGCCCTACCCTCTGCTTCATGAACCGAGGGGAACCAGACAAACTCCTTGGCGAAAGTGGTGGTGTACTGCCAGCGGGAAACATAGAAGGCAAAGAATTGCTTGTAACGGCATGTGTACTAGATGATGTCCCAGAGACATTCAAGGGACCACCTCCCTTCACATTACTAAGCAACGATTTTACCTATAATTTGCAGATAGTCGTAAGTTAGGTCTTTTATGTATTTCAGCTAAAATGAGAAAGAAAGTCACATAATCTGGAAAAACTTGGAAGAAAAAAAACAGTAAATTGGCCTCTCCTTACAAATAGTGGAAGACAAAGTATAATCTTATATTAGGTTGTAACCTATATTAGTTTCTAACACAATTTCACTAACTTTGAGCAACAGGGATATGCAAATGCAATAGAATAAAAGATAGGTTGATTTCCTAATTATTGGACCAAATATAAGTGGAGTCGAATAATCATAAGCTGAGGTTAATAATTTCAAATAATATAGACGGAAGACTTTAAAGGTGCCATCTGCATCAATCCAGCAACTGCATAATTAATAGATCTATATTTACTAGATGAAAAGATAGAATCATAAATCCAATTCAAGAATTGGCTCATTATGAATAAAACCTACAATAAAGAGAAACAAGTACAGAATGAATTCACTCAGAGCGAGATGTTACAAGAGTATCATTTCTTACATATGGCATCTACACCAGCATATCCGGAACTCCATAGTTGCTCAAACTAAATTCACTGGCACATTATTTCCATACTCACAAACAATAATGTAGAACATCACTTAAATTCTGGTAGTGGTAAGGAGGATTAGGGAGAAAGTTAAATAAGGAGGAGGAGCCTCAATTCCTCATTAGATGAGAAGGGGGGAGGAAGGAAAAGACAGAAAAGGTGAGAGAATCCGTTGGTCTTATGCAATATTCTGTATTATTAAAGAGTTGAGATAAAAATTGAAAAGGAGAATAAAATAACAACTAAATGCAAAAAAATAATATTACTGGCAATATAGGAGTATCGAAGTAAAACGACATTTCTCCTTGCCTTTCGCCCTCCTAGTTTTGTCCTACTAAACAGCAAAGAGGAGTCGAGATATTTCATCTCCGTGAAGGGTGTCCGCAATACTTTTCCCCTCCCCTTCGTGACATCAACTAGCGATATTCTTGCCCCTACCATAGCTATTGCGATTCATCACATGAAAGGATGATGCAAAACCAGATATTCATGCGGAAGATATCAAGAAAGTTCATCAGTAATATATGGTTTTTAACTCTTCATCGATCCTCTTCATAAAACTTCATGATTTGACCTTCATATCTGTCATAGCCCGGGAGTGAGAATGGTTGTATCTCTTCAATGGTTAATGGGCTAGTGGATTCCTAGATCCCTATGCATCATCTATTCCAGGTCTCTTCTGGACCAAAACTTAGAAGCTGAGGTGTTGGCAAGATGCCGATCATTGACATGATTTCGAATTACCTTTATTGTCATTCTCTTTGCTTGTGGTACTCTGATTGGTACATATTTTCTTTCACGCCTAGAAGCTGAGGTGTTGGCAAGATGCCGATCATTGACATGATTTCGAATTACCTTTATTGTCATTCTCTTTGCTTGTGGTACTCTGATTGGTACATATTTTCTTTCACGCCTTCTAAAAAAATAAGTTCTTGAAATACACAGGATAACACCAGTGGTTTCCAAAAAAATTAAAATTAAAAAGATTTTACATCCTGAAAGCCCAAAGTTTTCTCTTCATGTTGTTGGTAATTTCCCTTATACTCAGAGCGTTCCACCTAACTGGCATTTCATACAACATTCTATTCGTCTTTTAATCAAAGTACTTCCTCAAACATTATCCTAATACAGCAAACATTTGAGCAAAAAAAGGTGCCATGTAAAGGAAAGCACAAAAATGAATGTCCAATCAGTGGTAAGCAGCTGACGTATACTTATTTTACACAGTCAGCGGCCAAGTGTAATATAAAATATTTAAATACAACAAACAACAACGTTACCAAAGAATTGGATTCGGGAAGCGAAAGCCACTGATCAAAAAGCTTCTCAGCGATAGAAGGATTGGCTTTGATTGCCAAAGGAGACACCTCCTGAAGCTGCAACAGTTCCGCATCGAGACTCGCTACATCCCCATGGAAATCCATATCCATAATTTCCCTCAACTCCTTAAATGATAACAATAACTCAAAATTCTGAGATCTCTAAACGATTCTTGAATCATCAAGTACAAAATAATGCCCCCGACTTCGAATTTCAAAGATCTTCACAGATTCCGAACAGTAGAAGCACAAAAAATTAGAGATTTGTGCTAATAAATAATTTGTATAATCACGAAAACCCTAGAATTCGATTGAACCTAAGGTCGGAGAGAAGAGATGAATAAAGAGATCAGAAACCCTTGAAAGCAGAAGCGAGCGTCTCTGTGTGTGCGAGAGGGAGGAGAAAAGTGCGCAATGAAACGATAACGATGGATTTTGATTATAGTGTGATGGTCCGCCTGAATCTCTGACGGGACGATTGTGGATCTGTTGTATTTTGGCACTTGACTCGAACGTGACACCTAGTGATAGTGAAAGATCTTAAAAATGTATGTTTTTCCAACCATATTATTTAATAAAATTAATATGACATATAAATTTAAAACGTTTTCTTATATATTCTACAAAAAAAAAAATCGTTATTTTAAAACATATTTTTCTCAAAAATCTATTTTTATCATAGCTCAAACAGGAGTTACATGTTTTATATTGTGGAAATTGGTTGAAATAGCCTGTTTCATGATATAATTTGCAAATATAGTCTTTGATCAGAATAAAAGTTTTAAAATAAATATTTTAAATTAATATTAACAAACTACCCAAATTACCCTCATTCATTCTACATAGAAAATTTCTCCTTCCCTTTCCCAAATTGATCTCTTCTTTGAAATGTAGAAACCCTTCTAACCAATCATTGTTTCTTTTTCTTCCCATTTTTAATAGTTATACTTCTTTATCTTCTTTATCTAAATGAGATTAAATTTGTATGCAATTATTCTTCTATTTCAAACGTTACCATCATCTCGAGCAACTTCGTCGCGAACAACCACAGTTGCGAACAACCTATTCAAGTAAACAATTTTCCAATTACATTTGTCACTTGCATCGACGAACAAGTAATTTCCCTTGTACCTTGTTGTTCATTCTTCTGATCATAATATAATACTCTGAGAAATTTATTGCATTTTGAGTTTGTATGTTGTGATTTGGAGAAATTACATTGAAGGGAGTTATGACCTATTTGTTGAAATTCACAAGTGATTGATGGAACTTTGTTTATCTTTTTTCTTCATAATCTTTTCCATTGGGTTACTATAATTGATAATAAATATGTTGTTGTAACTCGGAATCAGTAAAAAATAGTTGTGGGGATGATTTGAAAGTGGCGAGGTGTCTTTGAAGGAAATACACAGATTATTTGCACACAAAGTAGAAAAAGACGATTCTTTTGGACATGACTTAGTCATACAAACGATCAAAATCATTCACCCATCTTGTCACTATTTATGTAATTGTCTTTTACACTGAAGTCGTTGGCGCTACTATTACTAACCAACTCTATAAGTTATGTTTCACCGCCTGTTGCATTTGATTTGTTCACTTGGCTCTATGGAATTAATTTTTAATTAGTTGTTTAATTTTGTTGTAATAAAACAAAAGGATTTTGAAAATCTGATTGATTCATTCACTAAGCCCTTTGAAGGCGGTTCATATTTGATGGTGCGAGCTTTAGCTTAATTTCCTAAACATAAGGTCCACGTTGATTTTGGCTTTTGATTTGAGAGCCTATACACAATCTTTTTTCTCTCGTGTTCCCTTATTTGAAAATTTACTTTTGCAAGAGTATGTATTTAGTCAGTAGGTAGATGACAATTATCTCTTGCACTTGGTAGTTGGTACCAAGGGATCTACTTCCATTATCATCAAGTGGGAACTTCTCTCTTCTTTTCCTTTAACAACACAGTGTAACATTTAGCGATTTTTTTATTTTATTACCTAAAAGCCATGTCTTGCAATATCGAATGGCTCACGTGCTTTGATATAATCTAATGACAATGACCATGTTTAATTACAAAATAAAGCAACTTTTGACTAAATGCATTCAAGGCCCATGAAAGGGATGCTAAGGATGCCATGTTGTTTTCATTGATTCTACAAATTAGAGGTGTTAATAGTCCATATACTAAAATAAAGATATAAGGAAATTCTCTGCTTTGCCCGTGACTCATGTCTGATCAACGATGTACCAGTAAGTGACTTGAATCATAGTTCTCATTTCACACAACATTTCATTGGTCAACTATTTCATTGGTTTGTTGATTTGTAGATAGGCGTTTTCTATATTTTTTAAGTTTGGTAATTTTCTGTTAAACCTAGTAGTACACCTATCGCTAAATCATTCTTTCTTGCTTTTGACATTTATTTTTGGTTAAATTCGGTGCTAAGTGCTTCAGTAGTAGCTTATTCAAAGTTTAAACGGGAATATTTTGTAGGTGTTACTTTAGAACTATTTTACTTCATCTTATCTTATTTATGCTGGTGTTGCTATTCTTTAAAGTATTCTGTTGCCTAAAATTTTAGTCCGTGATGTAGAAGTGGATTGAAACATTAAGCATATCGGTAAGATTCTTCGTTTATGTTCACTCTGACCAGCATATTTATGACAATATTATCTAGTAGTATTCAATCATTTTTTGCAAAACACACACTTAAGTCTCCAAATTATTATCTGATGTTAATGATACTGTAAAACTTACACGGGCAAAGACATCAAGAAACGGAAGCTCAAATCTTTAAGGAAGCACGTCAAATTGGTCCGACAAGAGCCGACTTTTTTGGCCACATTAATCCGAAAACATTCTTATGGTTAAGAGGGAGCCAAAAAAGGAGATTATAGAAGCTACGAAGCTCACTAATGCACAGTTTCATCGGTGCCCTTTCGGAGGACTATTCCACTAAAGTTGGTGAGCGACGTGTTCAACTTTTTGATGGGCAAAAGCAAAGAGTTGCGATTGCACACGCTATTACACAAGTGAAAATGGACACGATATTAGTATATACGACACCCCATGCATTTAAAATTACTATATATCATTTTGGATTACAGGGTCTCGATTTCACGCTAAAGTAGTGAATGAATGTTTGGAACGTGATAGAAGACCTGTATTTTTGAACGAATATATGTAATATATTTTTCGTTCGTTGTCAAGTGTGGTGTAATTTCCAAACAAATATATTATGTTACTCACTATCGTTTGAACTTTGTGTAGATCGCGAGATCAAAATCTAGTCAAAATTCTCATCCTTACACTTTCAAGTGCTAACAAGTGAAAATGAACACGAAATTAGTATAAATGATACACATACATTTAAAACGATTACATATCGTTTTGGGCAATAGAATCTCGATTTCACGTTTGTGTGAACTATATATTCAACGTATTGTTCAAAATTTCATGTGCCATTTTAGGTAGTAAATTGATTTCAGTTTCGAAATGTTTTATGTTTTATATACCTTGAACGATTTCTATATACCCTAAACGACAGTCATATTTGTAAAATGATCACATGTCGTTCTGAGTAGTAGGGTTAGAATTTCCCTTATACATGTTGAATGATTACATATTCGATATTTTTTATATCCTATACCCTAAATGGCACCCCTACGAGTAAAACGACAATATGCCATTTGAGTAAAAAAGTCTCGATTTCACTCTAAAACTAATAAATTAATGTTCGGAATATCATCCAATACTATAAATGCAACCATACATTTAAACCATATACCCAAGCCCGAAACCCTAAACCCTAAACGACAACCATACGTTTAGAACGACCAGATGCTGTTTTGGGTCACGAGATATCAATTTCAGTCCGAAATTAGTAAAACGATATTTGAAACATCATAAATGACTTGTACACATTGAACGACTACACGTACTATATTTTGTATACCACACTTTCTACTTACATTTTTTTTATTGTCTAAGTGTAGTGTAGTGTAGTTTTCATTCTAATTATAGTGGGATTCGCTATAGTTTAAATCAATGTGTCGACGAAATATAGTTAAAATTTTCATCCTTAAACTTTCAAGTGGTTACATGCATGAATAAATCAAAATAAACATGAAACGAGTAGAAACATCACTCATACATTTAAAATGACCAAACACCTTGTTGAGTCAAGAGGTATCGATTTCATTCCAAAACTAGTAAAATAGTATTTGAAACATCATACATGTCTTGTACACATTGAACAACTACACATGTTATGTTTGCATACCATACTTGCGACTTACATTTTTCTTTATTGTCAAGTGTGGTGTAGTGTAGTATATTTTCTAACCGATTATAGAATGACTTGCTATAGTTTGAACCAACGTGTTGATGAAATGTAGTTAAAACTTTCATTCTTAAACTTTAAAATGGTTACAGGCATGAATAAACCAAAACGAACACGAAATGAGTAGAAACGTCACTCATACATTTAAAATGATCAGATGCCTTTTTGAGTTAAACTAGTAAAATAATGTTACACATTGAACAACTGCACGTGCTCTTTGTTGCATACCACACTTGCTACTAACGTTTTTTTTTATTATCAGGTGTAGTGTAGTTTCCAACCAGATTATAAAGTGACTTGCTATAATTTGAATTAATGTGTTGACGATAACGTGCTTTTACAAGCTAAACAAATATAACGAAATTGGAGTCCCTTATCTTCGTTCACAGTAAAATCTATTGTAATTTTCTTATGAAACAATATTGTTGGTCACTATCATGTGAACTTTATATCGTTACTCAGGTTCAAATGTAATGAAAACTTCCATTCGCTAATTGTCATGTTCATACGAGGGAAAATAAAGTAAAGCGGATATGAAATTAGTTGAAATAACACCCAATAATTTAAAATGGTAGCGTTTTAAATTTTGGGTTCTCGATATTCAAATGTAGTAAAAACTTGCATTCATTCATTTTATAAGGATACGAGTGAACATAAAGTGAAATGAATACAAAAATAGTTGAAACGACACCTAATCTTTTCATTAGTATCATGTCGTTTTAAGTCACGGGCCTTGATTTCACTCTAAAACGATTCAATAAGACTTGGAACATTTTAGACGACTTATACAAGTTAAACAAGTCAACTTGTTGAATATCTTATCTCATGATTAGAATATAATGAAATTTACTTAATTTTGTTCATAGTTAAATGTAATACAGTTTGCTCATGAGTGCTCTACACTCATAATATTTATGCTACCTAATTTGTTATTTTGTTACTCTTGAGAGTGTTTTAGAGCTTTTTATTGTGTGTGTTTTGTGTTGTGATGTAGGTTGATGAAATTGAAAGAAATAAGCAAAAGTTGGCGAAATTGGAGAAAATTACTAAATTGTAAGAGATCCAAAGTTCGGGGACTAAAATGCAAATATTGAAAAGTTGTGTTGAACCTCGCAATGAAGATCCGAGCATGCTAGGAGTCAATTGGATGAAAAAAAAGATGTCAAAGGGATCAAATTTGATCAAAATATGATCACAAATCAATTTCTAACTGAAAAGTTGTGCTCTGAAATTTTAGCCTCACATTGAGACTCGTTTTTAACATAGCAAACGATCGAAGTAGAGAATAATATCTGAAGAAAATTTGTGCCCCTTTGAGTTAGCTTTCTAACGAGCTTTGAATCACCTCAATTGGACATCAGACGAGAAAGTTATGCTAAAAATATTGAAAGACGCGCTGAAAGAATTTTCCACCCGAACCGGGTGCCATGGCGCCAATGAAGCTGAACTTGATAGTAAAGGCTATGCGGGGAAACGTATTTTGATATTTTTGGATTTCTTTCTCGGCCCATCCCAACCCAGAATTGTCCAACACTTGAGGAGACTATAAATACTACCTAAAAAACCTAATTAAGAGAGGGAGAACGAGCAAGGAAAATTGGAAGCAGCCGGCAAGAACACGTGACTAGAAAGAGGAGTTTAGCCGGCCAATTGCAAAAATCTGGAGACAAACCCATGGCTGGTCAATACAATTAAAGAAAAGGAAGTTAATTGAGAGAATATGGCAACAATGAAAGAAGAAATCGAGCGGCAAAAACGAGTTTTTCTATTCCTTTTCTTTTCTATGTTCTTTCTTATTAATTTATTTATGTCGATTTTCTTAATTATGAACTAAACAATTATTCTAGGGATGATGTAGCCTACTCGAAACATGTTTGGATTTCGTTATAATTATTTCAATTGATCTTTTCTTTTTATTTATTTATGTTGTTTGTGTGCAATGCTTTCAACTGACTGATTTTATGTTCTAAATTTTGGTGCTCAAGAGAGGCAAATTTAAGCGTGATTTAAGACAACATAACCTTGATTTCGTAGGTTTCAAGAGAAAGTGTGAATCTTTGAGACTTGTTTTAATTAAGAACCAAGTGCTTGATAATTTTTATATTTTTAATTCGCAATAGAGATATTGGAATTAATATATAAAAATAAATTTTATTTGGTGCTCGAGAGAGGGAAATAGGATCATTTTAGCGTTCTTGCCTATAAATTTTGGAAAGATTGATAGAAATAATTATACGGTTGAAAAATATTGTCGAATGTACGGTGAAATCATTCCCTAGGCATTCATAATTTGATAAGAAACTTCATAATTTGCCTTCGTTTACTTGCATCGTTCATCTTATTTAATTTTAATTTAGCATAAAAACATTGACTTAAAATTTGATCGTCTAAATAAAGGGAAAGATAAAATAATTATAGTACTCAATTGATTCGAATATCAATCCCTGTGGGTTCGACATCCTAACTTCTTTACTATAATACAAAACTTGACACCGTACACTTGCGGTTTAAAAATCATGTTGCATAAATCGCGTGACAAGTTTTTTGAGCCGTTGCCAGGGATTGATTTATTTGAATTCAATTGATATTATTACTAATTAGCTTTCATTTTACTTTAGATTTTTATTTCTATCGTAATTTTTATTTTATTCATTTTTGTGTCTATCTTTAAGGGCTTCCTTGGAGTTATTTTCAGTTGTTTATGCGAAGGGCGAGAAATCTAGACCTACTACCTGTTGATCCTGAACCAGAACGTACATTTCGCATTCTCAGAGGCATACAAAGAAACGAACGGGAAGCAATGGCAGAACAGGATGCTAGAGTAGCCAATGAGGATAACTAACAAAGGGCTATTCGAGACTACATAAGACCGATTGTCAATGACAACTATTCTGGCATCGCACGCCCAGCAATTGCTACAAACAATTTCGAACTAAAACCAGGACTTATACACATGGTGCAGCAGAATCAGTTTGGGGGAGCTCCAACAGAAGACCCAAATGCTCATTTGGGGTCCTTTCTGGAGATCTGTGATACAGTGAAAATGAATGGTGTTACTGAAGATGCAATCCAACTCCTCCTATTTTCCTTTTCCCTAAGAGACAAAGCCAAGACATAGTTCCAATCATTGCCGTATGGATCCATCACAACTTGAGAGGGGTTAGCGTAGAAGTTTCTTACAAAATTCTTTTCACCTTTGAAGGCAGCGCAATTACGGAGTGAAATTGGACAGTTTTGACAATTAGACTTTGAACCATTTTATAAGGCATGGGAGAGATATAAAGATCTATTCAGAAGATGTCCTTAGCATGGTTACCCTGATTGGTTGCAGATACAAACCTTCTACAACGGTTTGAATGGTCAGACACGGATAGTGGTAGATTCTGCAGCAGGGGGTGCACTATTATCCAAAACTCTAAATGAGGCTTATGCATTATTGGATGAGATAGCTACTAATAGCTATCAATGGCCAAGTGAGAGTTCAAGTGCAAAGAAAGTTGCCGGCCTTTATGAAGTAGATCCTATAACCGCCCTTGCAGCTCAAATGTCATCTCTCACTAATCAAATAGTTGTATTGACTTCACATGGATCACAAAGGAAATCAAAATCTATTATGACTACATCCACTGCATACCAAAAAGTTGAAAGGGAGAATGAACAACTTCAGCATGTGAACGATCAGAATTTCAATCAAAAGGGAAACTACTCAGGAAACAACTACTATCAGGGGTTCAATAATCAAGCGTTTGAGCGAAAGCCATCATTGGAAGATATTTTAGGAACCTTCATTTCGGAGACCAGATTGAGGTTCAACAAAGATGACGCAAGACTTGACAGCATTGAGACACATATGACCAACTTGGGGGCTACAATGAAGAATTTGGAGGTACAGATTGGTCAGATAGCAATTGCAATACAGTCTCAACAAAAAGGACAATTTTTCAGTGACACAGAGGTTAACTCACGGGAACACTGCAATGCTATCACCCTAAGAGGCGGTAAAGCAGTTGAAGAACGCAAGCTTAGAGAGGTTGGGGTACCTACATTGGATCCCATTCTTGTAAGGGAAAAGCAGACTGAAGGGCAGAAAATTGAGGCAAGGCAACAAAGAAGATTTATAAGCTTTACTCAATTTCATTTCCGGACAACCCACCTATCTTGAAGCCCCTACTACCATTCCGGCAAAGGTATTTGAAGAAGGAGTTTGATGAAAAATTCGCAAAGTTTCTGGAGGTCTTCAAGAAAATCCACATCAACATTCTCTTTGCAGAAACCTTGGCCCAAATGCCTAACTATGCCAAGTTCTTAAAGGAAGTGATATCAAAGAAGAGAAAGTTAAAGGAATTTGAGACTGTTAAGCTAACAGAGGAGTGTAGTGCTATATTTCCGAAGAAGCTCCCTCACAAATTGAAAGATCCGAGTAGCTTCAACATCCCGTGCAATATTGGTGGTATCACATTTGATAGGGCACTATGTGACTTTGAAGTTAGCATAAACTTAATGCCCTTGTCAGAGTTCAAAAAGTTGGGTCTTGAAATAAGTGATACTTAATCTCTTGAATTTGAAATTTTCCTTTTATCAAAATCTACTAAAAATATAATTTTTATCTAAACGAAAAAAGACTTACCCAAAGCCTCCAAAAAAAATTGTCTCATTAACCAAATCGTTAATATTTGCATAGCTTGTCCCATCGTCTGCAAATTTAAAAATTCATTAGTGTAAGTTGAGCATAAAATGTTGATCATTCGCGTAAATGCAAAGGCCTATACAATAATTAAGTGGTATGTACTTTTACCTGATTCAAAATTATACAGTGCCATATTCATTTCAGCACAAATGGATTTTGAAAATGTATGTCATGGCCTAAGGCAAAAAAGTTACCATGGAATTGTGAATTAATCGAACGAGAGTACTCGAGCATTGAATAGGGAAATTGGTAAAATTTGAGGTCTAAAGTGAAGATGACAAGTATTTAAAGTAAGATATGCGCTGTTGGAAGCTTGTCATTTCAATAACATGAATTTATAAAGTGTATATGCTTGTTTTTCGTGCTCTTGGGCGGTAAAGTGAAATAAACTTACAAATTTATCATCGGAGTAATACATAATTAGAGAATATCAAAATTATATAAAAATTGCTCGAATATCGAAATTTTTTTGCGTGGCAATCCCAATGAGCATGCAAACAACTTGTTCGATTGTTGGAGATTGAAAGTAGATAAAAATTATGATAAATTTAACATGTTTAAGTAAATTGTCATTTTTAAATAAAAGTAAAAGATCATGTGTAATCATGTAACTCAATTTATTTTCTCTCTTTCTTTGACTTTTTGTCTTCTTGTTTCTCTTAGTACGAAACTTTTCTGTATTGGAGACACTGTTTTCTTGTTTGAACGTCCGCGTCTTCGAACAACCAAAAGGACTACAAAATCCATTGCTTTGACCAAAAATTATACAAAAGTCACCAACATTATCACAGTAATCAATATTAGTTGTAACTCAAATGGCATTGGCACCTGTAAATTAAAAAAAAAAAAAAAACTCCTCAAAAATTGATTAATTTCTCTTTATTTTTTTTTTTCACTGAAATCAATTGTTCCATAGTACTATACAATTCTCATCGAAAAGGACAATCAAGTTAGCAACTTTCATCTAATTTCTTTTGCAACTTAAGATAACGTTGACCTCTTGATTGCCTTTCCAATTATTATACATAACTTTCATCTTGTTGTAAGACCTTTTAAGTCCTCCCTTTGACCTCCATTAAATTATAATTCATTTTTTTCTCTTCTTTATCAAATAAACACGGTGTTTAATGAAATAATATTACACGTAAATCAAATAATTTTCTTTTTTTTTATTATACATTCTCCAACAAATTACTATTCCTTTCATTATAATGTGAAATAAAGGGGCCAAACGAGCGCTTAATCTTTCCTCCAATGTGCTAAGATATACTTTGTCGAAACTTTATAGATATTTAGTTTCAAAATAACTTATAAAATTTTTTTTGCATAAATTATCTCTTACTTCTAACAATACCTTGTTTCTCTAGTCACCTCAACGACTAGTGAAATGTGGTTTTGTATGTCGATCTCCATCCAATATATCTTTAACCATATCAAATAATTTATTTTCATCATCAACACAAGATACTTTACAATATAATTTTTCAATCAACCACTCCTTTTGAAAAATCTTCCACTTTGACTTGGTACGTACACTTTGAAATTGTTTTTCTATTTCAACGTTAGTTATTTTTAGTCTTTTAGTAAATAATTAGCCCCCATTTGATAGCTATTATTTGGGAAAATAATATTTTGAATGGCAATTTTTACGAGAATGTGTGGTTAAAAACTTAAAAAATGTTTAAATTTACGTATAGAACATTTTATTATATTAACGTGTGGTTGAAAATGAGTATGTAAAAAAAAAAAAAAAGAATTTTCAAATAGTGGTTCTCAAACATGTAGTCAATAAATAATTGAAATACCAAAAATACAAGATGATCGTATCCTTCTTCTATATTGGATTATTTACTCATAATATAGGTCCGTGGATGCTTCCCTTAGAGTTTACGACGTTGTATGGCATGATCATTTTTTGAATTTAATATTACTATGATATTTTGATTATGTGTTCGATAGTCCGGTAGTTTGTTGGATAGTTAGAATTTACTCTATTGAATTGTTCAAAGATAATTAATTATGAGTATAAATTACACAATCGATAATTACCTAGATTTCAACTTTAGATAAATAATTTATTTTATCTCACAGGCAATTATTAGTATGTGAAGACAAGTTCCTTAGAAGGCGACCTAAAAAAATTATAACTTATTACGATATCGAGTTTATTTTTGTTCATAATTCACCTAAGTTGAGACAAAAATATCAATATAGAGAGATTTAGCACTTGTTTGAGCCTCATTATTTTTATAATAATAAATTTTTGAATAGTGTATTGATGGAAAATGTGTGGTTAAAAAATAAAAAAAATTGAATTTGCGTGATATATTATTTTATTAAAAAATGTTTTGTTTAAAAGATGTCAAAACACTGTTTAAAAACATTTTTTTTTTCAAATAATGAGGCTCAAACAGGGGCTTACTGTATTATACACTCGCTATGGTCGGCAAAAGAACATTAAAACTTTAATCCGTTGTTATTAACCTTCATCCGTGATTCATTACAACAACTTTTATTGGGTTAAAAATCCTAAATGGCCATTGATATTTGTACAATGTTTTATATGGGACTGTAAAAGTTTCTTGAATGTCCACCGACTTATCCAATAATATTCTATTGGTCATTAATCTTAAAAAAATTTCGGATGGTCACCACATTTTATTAAATTATCATTCCATTGATCATTAAACTTTAAAATCTTTTAGGATGATGATTGAATTTTGAAATCATTAATCCGTTCGTCTTTCAGTGACTCTCACTTTTTAATATTCAATGGACCCACTGACGTAACAAATAAAAATGCCAACATGAAACATTATTGTTATTGGTTGAAATCAATCAAAAACGTGTTTCAACCTACTAAAAGTGTTAATAGAAAATGTAATTGAATTTTAACATTTGCTTATTTTCTCTTGTTTATCAGAATTTTCAGTTAAACATAATTGAGCTCCATTATTTTGAAATTCATATTTTCCTCATGTTTATTTTTAATCACATACCATCTTAATTAAATAATTTTACACGTAAACCTAACGCTTTCCCCCTACTTTTTAACCTACATTTTCCAAAAAATCACTGTTACAATTTCAATTATCCTAACAAATAAGGCTTAGACAAACTCTTAGTATATTATATTTATTACATTTTCCCATTATTCACATTTTTTTATAAACAATTTTTTTGACTAATTTGTCGTCAACTAACTATAATAATATGAAATGTAAGTATTTTTCATTTGTCATGTCAGTGAGTAAGTTGAATTTTTCAACGGTGAGTTAAAAAAATTATTTGATAAACTTTTAAAGTCTAATGATCGATATAATAACGATTTGATAAGTTACTATTCAAAAAACTTTTAAAGTTTAATCATCAACGAAAAACATTGTGTAAAGTTCAATGACCATTTGAATTTTTAACCCACTTTTATTTTACGTTTTTCTTCTAACTCCCTTGCCAACAAATCCCCACATGTTGGTCTTGCCACATTCTTTGCACGAGAAGCAATGTCACAGTGCTTCTATTATAGAGGTGTTGGAAATTTAAGTTCACACGATGGATACTGAAATTGAATACAAACGAGGTGATCGACCCTCAACACGATATTAGAAAACATAAAAATGAGAAGGTGCCCACGACATTATAAGCTAAAGCTTACTTTAATAATAAGAGCATGTTTGGATGCATCTAATTAATTTTCAAGCTACTTATTCCTTTACAGAATAGCTTCTTTTTGCTAAAATTTATTTTCGTGGTGACGTCCAATTTCTCCTAGACAGTTTTGTTGGGCTTTTGGAAAGAAAATACTTTTATAAGGGCGCCTATAGGATATTTGTGAAGGGCACCTTCGTATTTTCGCCACACCACCCTACACAGCACACATCACTCAGCGGTTTTACATTTCCATCCCACCTCTCCATCGCCGTCCCCAGTTCAGCGACGACGACGACGATGCATCAAGCCGGCTATCATCCGAATACGGGCCCCCCAGATATGGCACAACTTCAAGCCACGATGCGATCTATCGAACTTGCCTGCAGTTCTATTCAGGTTCATTACAATTTTGAATTGCTTACATCTGTAAACGCCTTTACTGCTCGGTTGGCAGCATCAGCGGACAAATTATTATAATATAGTTTGCTTCACATTCCAAAGTTTGCAAATCATTTGTATATTTCCCGTTTATCGGAGTGTAAAACTGACATATCGAAACAAATGATGAACTTTTGTAATGTGCGGGTGTAAAGAAAGATGTTTGATTTTGTCGTATTGGTGATAAAAACAGATTAATCATATATGTATTTTATGAACTGAAAATGTCAATTTGCTGCGCTAGGAACCGGAATTATTGTGCACGTAAATCTAGGTTTGAAAACAATAATTCCACTCTCAACATCATAATTTCGGCTTCTTTGCTGTTTTTTCATATTTCGTTGAAGTCATGCAATGTGCTCAGTTAAAATGTCCTATTAATTATGGATTCTCATCCTCTCCATCTACTCTGAACTTTTTATGATGCATCCTCCGATTGATCAGTTCTAGACGATTATATATATAAAAATTATATAAATTTTGTATACTTTCTGTTCACTAATAGATCCAGTGTGCAAAAATTCTACTAATGAATCGGATTGTGAACTGTTAGCGATATGCACAATCAAAACTTTAAGAAATGTTAGAGCATGAAGTCAAATGGTGAACTCTATTAGCTCTGGAACTATATAAAAAATGAAACTGCAAGAAATCGTATATCGTTTGATCTAAATGGTGAAATTTATTAAAGCTGTGTACCGGGCAATCACTAGTTTGCAAATGTTTTTGATATCTATAACAATGTTACAACTTTCATTCATCATCAATAAATGGATGACAGATTAAAAAAATGCTGCTAGAGAGGGTCATAATCTATCTTATTTTGTATTTGAACTGTAAGTTTTGAAATGCACCAGTCTTGAGTATGTTTCATTTTTGGGTGCATATATGGACGCAATGTTCTGCACCGAAACATATATACAGATGCATGCAAATCCAGCTGCTGCTGAGGCAACCATATTATCACTAAACCAGTCTCCTCGACCATACCAGGCATGTCAATTCATTCTAGGTAATGTTTTATGAAAATATGCATGTGATGTTTGCTATTTCTGTGGTTGATGGAGGAATATTTTAGTAAGTGTGACTGGAGATGGCAATGTGAAGTAGCAGACAACATTAGAATTATTATTAGCTTCTAGATTCTGCCATAGTTTATTATTCCGAGCCTGCTGTTTGCTAGTTTAATTGTAAATCAAATAGGTTACTTATTTTTAAGCTTTTGTTCTACGAGTGACTTAGGATGCAACGAACAAGAACAAGATTGAGAAAGGAAGAAGAGGGGACGAAAGAGAGAAGAAGAGGGAGAGATTATAGAGAATTTAGTGGGGAAATATTAATTTTTATTCATATCAAGGTTGTTTTTATTACAATGCAAAATACCGCTTTATATAGGGTTTCAAAGATCTTATTCCAAGTAGGAAATATTTAATAAAATCTATTAAATCAAAACACTAAGGGACTGTTTAGTGAGAATTAAATAAGATTTTTGGTAAATTTTAATAAAAATTGATGGAATGTATGGTTGAAAATATGTGGCTAAAATTGATTATTTTTTTTTTTTGATAGGTAGTCATATAATTTTATTACTTAAAAGAGAATACACGGGGGGTGTACAATCACTTTAAGCCATTAAGGAACAACATGAAATTAGGCAACCCGTCTACAGGATTTCTAGCCACAGCATTAAACCAAGAATACAAAGTAAAGTAAGATATTTCTCTTATCTGCTTTTTTGTCTTTGTTTGGTCTTCGAAGCAGCGATTGTTCCTTTCTCTCCACACGCATCATACAATGCAATCCGGGATAAGGTGCTATGCTACTTTTCTATCCTTATCACGAAGTTTTCTCTGCCATGCCTATATCACGTCCTCTATACGACGAGGCATCACCCAATTCATAGATTGAGAACCAAGTATACTATTTCAAATCCAACGTACACCATCACAATGTACACCATCACAATGAATGAACAAATGATCGATCGTCTCTACTTGAGAAATTATCAATCTGCTGTAACAAATTGTAGTGGATAACCTATCTCTAAAGGTCGAAACCAGTCATTCAGTCAACATTAGATGGCTGAAAAGAAAGATTGCACTGTCTCGTTAATATGATAGAACTCTGCTGATAGTTTTTTGTCTGGAGGTGGCAGATAACTCATTCAATGTATTCTGCCTAGCATCCCAATATATTGTATATCTCAAGAAATCAGAGAAAGGTGGCCGTTTCTAGGAAAAGCTAAAGAGGGAATTTCTGTGAGAAGGTCAAAAAAACATCCAGTAGCTTGAGATTAGCTATAGTAAAGTCAGGGTCCGGGTAACCTGAAAATACGAATTTTGGCTTCGATTAGAAAGTGGCTCTGGTCAATTTCCTTTGCAACAGTTATATTGCGCGGAGGGTTGTGAAGAGAAAATATTGATTGAACCCAAATGCTCGAGATTCTAAAAAGGTTGTGAAAGGCTCTTCTTGGAATCCCTGGAAGTCTACATCTCAAGTTGTTTCTTCTTTAATTCGATTCACCAAATGAACCCAAGGGCAAGAAAGAAAATCTAGTTTTAGTAAGATAGATGGATCAATCATGCTTCTTTCACCTAATCGTTTCCGAGATCATTTAGCCCTTGTTTGAGCCCCATTTTCCTATTAAAATACCTTCTTAAACAGTGATTTGATTTGATTTCAACCACACATTCTTCAATAAAATAATATTACACGCAAACCCAAATTTTTTTCTTATTTTTAACCATACATTTTCCATCATAACACTATTACAAAATGCATTGTAAAAAGAATGGGGCTCAAACAACCCCTTAATATATAATGCGTTAATGCTGAAAAAGCTCCCCTCAATTCTGTTTGTTTGACTTTTGATTAAACTTCCATTTTTTGTAATCTTCAATTTCGTCCTAATCCAAGGGGCATGTATTTTCAGTTTGTCCTTGTTAGCCATCAGAAAATTTTTCTTTTGTTGATTTTAGAAGACTTCAATCTGAACTGTGTAGCATTTATGTTCTTAAGCCCATAATTTGTTTGTTTCATTTAGATGTTTCCTAGTAAGGCTGTGTCATATTGTAGCTCATCAATGTGCTGTATCAGAATTGGAAATGTAGTTATAAAATTGCTGATACTCACTTCAAAGAATTCAACATGCAGCACTTGCTTGTTTTGCATGCCATCATTGTATGGTAATCTTGTTTTTCACACGGTATACTTGATTCTATTAGATGATTGGAGATAGAGGCTTATGAGTGTGTGAATTGGATTTCTTAATTCGAAATATGATTGCTATACGATATCTTCCCCTTCCCCGCTGTTCACATGCTAACACACAAGATATAGATTTTTTTTGAAAGGTACACAAGATATAGATATCAGCATGCATATAGTGCATCAGTTTCTTGAATACTATCTGGTTTATGTTATCTGAAGAAACTTTGATCTTCTGTTCTTTAGTCATTCGGAAATGGTAATCCGAGCCTGTCTTTGGTGAATTTTGTGTATTATATATTATAATTTCTTACTATGTAAAAATGAAGTGCAATTCTTTTCTTACTATAATTGCTTTGAGGATTCAGAAAATTCTGAGTTGGCAAATGCAAGATTTCTTGCTGCTGGAGCAATTAGAGATGCGGCTATTAGAGAATGGTCATTTCTCGAGACTGATTACAAGAAAAGCTTGATCTGGTACATCAACCACTCATTTTGAGTCGCATCAAGTCCCCCTGCCCCGCCCCACCCTGTCTTGGTGAATGGTCTTGTTTGGACTTTAAGGTCTTGATATCTTGTTTAACAAGAAACATAATTTCATTTATCACATGATGAAATTACATAAATGAGAACAAGGAGTGCTGTACAAAATGATAAACAAGTACAGAAATAAATTCAAGAAACATAATGCTAAGTTCTCGATATTACACTGGAAGAATATTAAACTGCACTATTAAATAAATACTAATAAGAAGGTCAAGCAGTAAACTAAGCCTTATACCACAAATTTAGGGATGACAGAATATGGCTATTGGTAATTTAAATAATGCCCAGATATAAGAAAGAAGAATAATTATATTGTTCTGCTTACGTTCTCCATCTTATTCCTTGAGTATTTCTTGTTGCTTGCAACTCCTAATTAATAAATGTCTTCAGAAAACATAATTTATAGTTTGC